GAAACTGAGATGTTATAATAATGATGGACGAGACTTAGAGGATATAGGTTTCCTGAAGTTCCTTACATATCATAAGGTTTTGTTGTATTAACATTTCAGGATGTATTGGGCCTTAAGAATTGATTAGAGTAACCCCGCATTTTAAAGCCCTCCATTTAGGTTTGATTATTGGAGCACGCTAATTGGATTAATGTTTAACAGTGGCCATCCTATGGATTCACTTAGGAAGTTGGGAAAAGGCAATTTAATTCTTCTTTACTGGCCTGGCCTTATTGTACAATTAATTAAGACCTGCTTAAAAATAGCTCTCAGAATAGGGCCAACGAAGGGAAAGCCTTTCTTTTCTTTTTTTTTTTTTTTTTCCTCCTTTTTGTTAATCCTCACGTGAGGATATTTTCCCATTGATTTTTAGGGAGAGTGGAAGAGAGAGGGAAAGACAGAGGAGAATATCTATGTGAGAGAAACATATCGACTGGTTGCCTCCTGCACGAGCCCCAACCAGGGCCCAGGCTGGGGAGGAGCCTGCAACCAAGGTATGTGCCCTTGACCAGAATCGAACCCAGGACCCTTTGGTCCACAGGCCGATGGCTCTATCCTTTGAGCCAAACCAGCTTGGGTGGGAAAGTCTTTAAAATAGTGCACAGGTATTAGTGAATTCGTTTTCATGGCTAAAATAGCTACTTTTACCCAATTTGGATTAATGAGATCTAATTTTATGTTTCTTTCTGGCTAGAGCACTAATACTAAGGAACAACTCATTTTCTTAACTGTATTCTGGGTTTTCAAAGTTGTTAGGTGATTTTATTTTATTTTATTTTAAATATGTTTTTATTGATTTCAGAGAGGAAGGGAAAGGGAGAGAGTTAGAAACATCAATGATGACAGAGAATCATTGATCAGCTGCCTCCTGCATGCCCCGTACTGGGGACCGAGCCCGTAACCAGGTCATGTGCCCTTGACTGGAATCGAACCTGGGACCCTTCAGTCCACAGGCTCTGGTCACGCTCTATCCACTGAGCCAAACCAGCTAGGGCTCAAAGTTATAAGGTACTTTTAAATAACTGACCTTGCATAGTCAGTTCATGTGCAGTTCGTTTTTTATTTTTTTATTTTTCTCTAATTAGAATGTTTACATAGAAAGGCATAAAACATATGTGTACAGTTTAAAGAATAATTGTAATGTCAGCACTCAGGTAATCACTGCTCAGATCAATGGAATACTATGCAGCTATAAAAAAGAGGGATCTCTTACCCTTTGAGACAGCATCGAGGGACCTGGAGAGTATTATGCTGAGTGAAATAAGCCAGTCAGAGAAAGATAAGTATCACAGGATCTCACTCATATGTGAAATCTATTGAACAAAATAAACTGACAAACAAAATAGATCCAGAGACATGGAAGCATGCAACAGACTGAGGATCCTCAGAGGGAAGGGGGGAGAGAAGCGATCAATCAAAGAACTAATATGCATATATGTATAACCCATGGACAAAGAAAATAGTGGGGTGAAGGCCTGGGGAGGGGATGCGAGTAGGGAGAAGGGAGGTCAATGGGGGGTAAGGGGGACATCTGCAATACTTTCAACAATAAAGATAAATTTTTAAAAAATGATAATAACCAACATGAAAAAATTTCAGTTTGGCCACAAACTGGCTATAAGTTACATAATGTTTGTTGATTAAATGGATGAAGAGAATATGTTAACTAACTGCTATATGTAACTGCTAACATAATACATGATAGAAGTCACTCAATAAATGTTGTCAACTTAAAAAAAAAAGAAAAATTTACAAGCATTCCAGAAGCTCCATCCAGATGACAACCCCCTCTCTTTCTTTGGGTAGCCACTGTTTTTACTTTCATCATTTTCTTGCTTCTCTTTGCAATGTAGTCACTTATATAATTTAGGTTTGCCTGGTTTTGCTTGTATGAAAAGAATCATGCTATGTACTCTCTTGGGTCTGGGATCTTTCAGTCAGTGTTAATATTTGTGAGATTTTATCTGGGTTATTGCTGTGCAGTGCATTTTTTAAAAAGCCTTTTCTGTATTGCCTCTCTCCCTTTTTTACTTAGGATCCCTGTAACTCTAAATGCTTTTGGAGATTTCTACTTTGCCTTCTTGGATTTTCTGCTAAATGTGGTCTGAAGACTAAAACTTGTCTGGACCCCAGTTTTCATTTAAATTTTTTTTATTGAGGTAACATGGTTTATAACATTATAAAAGTTTCAGGTGTACAACATTATAATTCGATAGCTGTATACCCTACTGTGTGCTCACCACTAAAAACCTAGTTTCCATCCATCACCATATATTTGACCCTTTTGACCCATTTTTGCCTTCCCCACTCCCTCCCCTCTGGTAACCAGCAGTCTGTTCTCTGTATCTATGAGTTTTTGTTTTGTTTGTTCACTTATTTGTTTCTTTTGTTTTATTTTATATTCTACACATAAGTGATATCATCTGATTTTTGTCTTTCCTTGAGGGTATTACACTAAGTGAAATAAATCAGATGGAAATGGACCCTAGTTTTCTGAACTGCCCTGACTGCCCCCACTCTGATGGCATTTGTTTTATGAGCCTACATCTTTAAGGCTTCTGTGCTTGGTTAAAAATCTTCCTTTCTCCAAGGCTGGTCCAAGGGTCTGGTCACGTGATTCCAACAGTGACATCACACTCTGACTGCCGGGGAACACTGGTGGTTCTTTAGGTGGTGTTTGTTCCTGTGAAAGGCAGAGAAAGCAGCAAGTGCCCCTCTAAAGCAGTTTATACCGGGGCTCCTTCTGTAAAAGCTTCTCAACCTAAATGACCAAATGCGGGCTGCCAAGGTTATTTCTTCCTTGAGGCAGAAAAAAAGAAAGCCGTAATTGAAGGTAAGCTGACTTGAGCCTGGCCAGGGACAGAAGCGTGACCCCAGGGAGAAGGGAATCTGGAGAATCACAAGCAGTCTGTTGTCAGATTCTAATGACTGCCTGCTCTTTTAGAGCTGCCTGACAATTTGCATTTATAATAGGAGACTATCTACAAAGAAGGATGATGCAGTGCTCATGTTACCTAGTGATGTAAGAGGATTCTTTCATTTCTCTTAGGAAGCTGTTGCAGATTTTCATTTTGTCTTAATATCCTTTGAGCTGGGGGGATTCATTTGATAATAGTGTAACATTAGATAGCTGTTGCTTTTAAAAATCAGTTTCACAAAATCCTTACTTAATTTCTCCTGAAAGGGACACTCTTAAACCAGAGCAAATTCTACTGAAGCATTAACCTGCTTTAAAAAGTAAATTTCTGATTTTTTGGTGTCCTGTGTGCATGTAAGCGTTTGTCTTGAGAATTGAAACAGCTTGTCCCCCCCCCCCCCCCCCCCCCCATTTTCTGCCCTCATTTCCTAGCTGGCTATTTCCCTCTAAGCTCTCAAACAGCACACCAACACTGATCTTTATCAGTATGCCACTAACATGATAGGAAATGCTGGACTGGTGATTCAGCAGCCAACCATTTTACAGCCAGGTAGGCTGGAAGATAGAGAAAGGACTTTGATTAGGGGTTTTAAGATTAACTTGTTAACCTCCTCCAGTCCAACACCACCCCCAGCCTTACCTTCGATATGATTTAGATTCTGCAGAGTTTTCTTCTTTCAAATATGTGTGTTGCTTGTGAAAGATATGCTGAATTAGGTATTTGGAAGACTCAAATTTGTAAACCAGATATAGCTTGATTGTTAATTCCAATTGACCCCATCAGAGTGCTGAAGTTGTCTGTTAGAAGTTTAGAGTCAAAATGGGGATGCTGATAGGAGGAGTGGGGGGGTTAGTTCAGGCCCACTTTGACTTTCTCTGCAGAGGAATTCATCACCAAATAGTCTAGATAAAGCTTTGGATCTGCCAACGTTGATGCTGCAAATGTGAGCTCTGGCTGTCTGAGTTCAATTATGGCATTACTCTGCATTTTTCCTCAGAGTTCATTTACATAAATACCTGAGTACTGTTTTACATTTTGTGTTTAATAGCTAAATATTGTTTCAAAAGGGAACTGTAGAAATATTTTGAGTAAGTTTGTTAAGCTGAACTAAGTAACCTTGTATGAGTACAACTTCTGAGTTTGACTACTTCTCCCTTATCACCACTGTTTATCAAACAAACTTTAGTTTAGCTTCTATTAATTGAGCCTTGGGCAGATGCTATATGCTGGAGAAGGCAATGACGAGTCAGATCTAGGGCTGCCTTTGAAGAGCTTCTAGTCCAGAAAAGAAGATAAAGCATTTACATAATAATTGTAATAGAAATACTAAAGGCAGAGCAGATAAAGGGCTGTGATTGTTGGAAAAATGGATTTGTTTCTTCCGATTGAAGGATCAAGGAGGGACATCATTGTGGAGCCCTACGCTGCTCTTTAAATCTCTACTTATAAATCTTAGATTGTTCTGATATACTTAGTAAAAGTTTCTACAAGCCTGTTACATCAGGGATCAAAGTCTTCTACCTATTGAAAGAAAATATGTACATTCCAGCCAGCTTAACGCTTGAAGAGGCTGACAAGCTTTCTTTGGAGTCCCCATTCAGGCAAAAGCCACCTCCCACGATTGAATTATTGCCTCATAAATGTAAAATGCTTTCTGCTGTGATTTGTCTACAAAGGTCTTTGACCCCTTTGTCTCCCTTCCATAACAGAAACTGAAATACTTCAGCTGCTCCAAGCTCCCGTCTTTTGTTTATAAATCCTTTCCCACTGCACTTCAACTCCTGTCAGTTCTCCCTTTATACTTCCACTCTCATCTGTCCCCTTCCATTTACACTGCCTGAAGACACTCATTTTGTGCTTAGACCATTGAAACCTCTGAATGTGATAAATGTTCTCACCAGGTGATTGATTTTATTGCTTTGTCAGCACACCCTAACAGTAGTCTTCTGATAGTTTAAGGGCTCACCTATTGGTGCCCAGAAAAGAGATATTAAAAATGATGAATGTCTGAAGTACTAACGTCTTGTTTCCTGTTCAATATAGAGGACAAGTCATACAATGGTGGAGGAATAGGTTTTTCAACTAGGATGATGGATTTCTTGGAGGAGCCAATCCCTGGTGTGGGGACCTATGATGATTTCAATACAATTGATTGGGTGAGAGAGAAGTCTCGAGACCGGGATAGGCATCGAGAGGTAAGGTGAAAAATGGCACATGAGTGTTAGGAAACACCAGGGTAAGAAGTTGAAGATATACTTTATATGTCATTCCTTCAGCCCTGGATGTGGCTGAATCTGGTTTCTATTGGCAATGTAGAGTTTTATTTGTAATGTGTCTTTATATGATTTTGAAAAGAATTTTTATTTAATGATGATTTTTCTTTCTAGAGTAAGTGGTTGAGAAGGATCTTTGCAGCCTGAAATGGGTATAAATACCTATGCAGACAAGTGAAACCAAACTTGGTGGGAGTGACCAAAATAAATTTCAAAGATCCTCCTTTCTCATTTCATATCCCTTTTATGGTTTTCCCTTAAAGCAGGATTTTTAGAACTAAGAAAAGTAAATGGATTACTTTTAAAGGAATAAAAGAAAAAAACCTCAGAGCTTTAGTGTTTACTGAAGCATACAAGATATTTTTGTGCTTGTAGCTCTTGTACAACCATAATACCAAAGTAAATTTATGTATTGGGCTCAAACAAAACCACAAGACCAATCAAATTCAAATTAAGGGCATTGATTTAACTTGATAGGTAATAGATGGATGGTACTTATGGCTATGACAGCTTCTTGTGAATATGACAAGAGAATTTCTCCACTTTTCAAAGTATGATGAAAACTTTTCAGAGCAGTCTAGCAAGGTCATTTGCCTTGAACTTGATGCTGTGTATCATTTAAGTGAGGGAATCATAATTTCTAGTTTGTGTCAGGAGCACATGGAGAGCTTATTAATAAGGTAGGGCCCCAGCCCCAGTGACCCTGATTCAGTAGGTGATCCTCTGGGGAGACATTTCTTCAACCAACGGTAGGTATTATTATTTTTTCCTTCTTACTCTTTCTGCTTTGACTCTGAATTTAATTTTTGATTTTTAAGGTTACCCCATTCTGCCCAGAGTTCATGATTTCTTTCTCAGTAAATCTCTGAAGCAGATCAATTTCCATTATTTTTTTAAAAATTGATTTCAGAGAGGAAGGGAGAAGAAGAGAGAGAGAAACATCAATGATGAAATGGAATCATGGATTGGCTGTCTCCTGCACACTCCCTACTGGGGATTGAGCCTGCAACCTGGGCATGTGCCCTGACTGGGAATCGAACTATGACCTCCTGGTTCATAAGTCGACGCTTAACCACTGAGCCACGCCGGCCGGGCCACTTTTCATTCTTAAACCTTTCCCAGCTACTGACTGGTGTTCTCATGACCACTGGAACCCAGGAGTCAGGTTGTCCCAGTACAGGTTTTGAGAAATTCCTTTGTAATCCTTGGATTTGTGATAATCCCACTGATTATCCCACTGAAAACTCCCATAGGAGTTTTCTTATCCTAACTTAAAAGAGTGATTTCTATAAACCAAAGAATATATATGTATATATGCATAACCCATGGATACAGACTATAGTATGGTGGAGACCTGGGGTGGAGGGCAGGTGCAAGCTAGAAAGGGTCAATGGGGGGAAAAAGGAGACATCTGTAATACTTTCAATAATGAAGATAAATTTTTAAAAAAGCTTTCTGATATTTGGGAGCACATATGTATTCTATTTATTTTATCAATTCATCAGGTAGGCTTTAAAATTTGGAATTGTATGGCTTTGGAATTTCGGCTCTCTGTAATTCAGAGTTCAATTTGTCAACACTTGCATATTCAACATTATTCACATTGCAAAAGTAATCTGTGATATGACAAGAGCATATTTCCCATTATATTAAAATGGTTGCATCTAAGACAAATTATGCCAATAATTCAAAATAAATTAAAATTTGTTTATGAAATGTTCAAATGGAAACACTGTCACAGGGAAAAATGTCACCTCACCTACTTTCACCACTGAACTGGAAACTTGAAGTTATAGATCAAAATGAAAATTTTAACTACTTTAAGTTTTTAAAATAATAATTTATTATAATTATTTGTGATGTTGCTGTAGATAAAGATGAGTGGCTAAGTCATAATTTCAAAGATAAAAAATAGAAGTACAGAGAAGAGGGAACTACTAATGACAAAGCTGTCACAATGCTTGGTTTTGAATGTGGGCACTGAAGGGTTAAATTGACAAGGCTAGGACCTTAAAGGTAAAACTTTCTGTACCTCTTGATAGCCTCAGATATTCCCAGCAGGTTTTTGAAAATAAAGAGATGCATTTCTAATATCATGTAGTATCTATGATCAACCTACTGTTAGGTGCTTGGGGGATCAAGTCTTACAATTTGCCTGACCTGAAGCACAACTCTGGATAGTACACCTCAGATTGTACTTTCAGCACTCAAATAAGCTTATGTTTATTTATTCTTTGAAAAACAATCAAACTATTTGTTGTGAGTCAGGAGACCATCCTTGAAATATCTGATGTCTAGGGTGGAAAGAGACCACTTTAGTAAGCAAAATAGATTGATGCTTTAAGAAATCAGCAACTGAATGGGGAAGGCCTGATTAAGATACTTGCAGGCATTTCGATATTGTAGATGACATTGGTGGGGATCAGTAGTCAAGGTTCAATAAACCTCTAAGTTCTTGGTTACGTTGGGTCAGCCAAAGGTTATTTGAGAAGTAGCTCCAAATTGGTTTCTATTCCCAATAAGTATATTTGTCTTTGCATTTCTTTACTCTGTTGCACATTTGGAGGTGAAAAAGCAACCGTGTGTGTAGAATGTACCAATGTTTTCTCATTTCTCCTTAGATTACCAATAAAAGCAAAGAATCAACATGGGCCTTAATTCACAGTGTGAGTGATGCTTTTTCTGGCTGGTTGTTGATGCTACTTATTGGGCTTTTATCAGGTATGGTAAACTCTGTTAGTTTTCTAAATAAATCTCACAAAATTTTGGTATGCCCCTACCCTAAGTCATGGCCTGAGTTGAGTGCTGTGCTTTACAATTCTCCTACATGAAATAAATTGCTGATGGATCTTTTGGAAGCTCATGTCCCTGTGGTAAAGGGATACTAATACAGTGGGGCCTTGACTTACGAGTTTAATTTGTTCCGTGACGGAGCTCGTAACTCAAATTACTCGTATGTCAAATCAACAGTGAACGAGTGAGACACGTGATGCTGGGCTGATGTTGTGGCGTTCACTGTGACGTTCGCTGCGCCAACTAGCGGTGGGGTATCTGAAGCTGGCTCGTAACCCGAATTTTAGCTCGCAACTCAAAGCAAAAAATCAGCCGTGAGAGACGGCTCGTATCTCGAAAAACTCGTTAGTCGGGACACTTGTAAGTCAAGACCCCACTGTACCTGTATCTCCTGTAAATAAATGATGTTAAATGAGGAATTACATTTAAATGCATTTGTACACCACAAAATGATGTATTCATTTTAAGGTGCTGTTAGCATGGCCTTGAGGAAGAGCCCTTCTATTGAAAAGTTTTTTTAAAAAAATACATAGTACATGGGGTTTAGGAGAGAAGATGTAGAAGAGGACTTCCTGAGACATTTTTGTAGCTATTTCTTAAACATCTACTCTCTCAATTAGGGATAAAGAAAAGCATGTAATACATGGCTCATATCCTGAAGGAGTTTACCATCTCATTCTTTCATGGTGGCTGAGAAGTGGGCTGCTACCACCTTTCCCTATCATCTCCATCAACCTCCCAAGCCACTGCAAGTAATATACGATCTAACTTAGAATATTACACTTGCTATGCAAATACAGCTTTAAAGCAAGTTCCCAAGCAGGTTTCCCCTCCTCTGGAGGAAGCAGAAAGCCGAGAATACCTGGCAGAGATGCTAAGAGATGTTGCCTTATGGCATTAAAAGATGGGCACAGGAAAATCTGGAATATTGAGTTAAAATGAATGTTAAGTGGGAAACCTGGAGTTGGATGAGATGAAATAGCAATTAACAGCACAGGCTCTAGTTTGTGGCTGCCTAGATTTGAATCCAAGCCTCACCACTTGCTAGTTTTGGGACTTTTGGCAAGTTTCTGAACCCTTGAAAACTTCAGTTTACTGATCTATAAAGTGGGGATAATGAGTATCTCATTATTACTCATTTGTGTGGAGATTAAATGAGATAGAACGCACATAGCACTCAGCACAGAGCCCAGTTATTAATGGTACCTCTGCTGCTGTTACCTAGAGATAATTCATAAGCCATGGAGTATACGGTGATTGCTGCAATGAGGAATGTCTCAGCCATAGCTGGATTTTCAAAGATGATCTAGGGCAGTGGTCAGCAAACATTTTCTCTAAAGGATCAGATAGTAATTATTTTAGGATTTATGGGCCAAATGGTTTCTGTAGCATGACAACAGCCATAGACATTAGGTAAACAAATGAGTGGGGCTGTGACCAAGAAAAACTTTATTTACAAACACAGAGGCAGATTTGACTCTCAGACCATAATTTGCCACCCTGTGGTCTAGGGTGTTAATGGTGCCCCTTCTGCCTTGCACAGGAGAGAGAACATCGTCTGGCCAATTTAGAGCTAGCTAATAATAGATTAAGTGATCTGTAGCCCCAAGTGTTGCAGAGATGCTGAAGAGAAGGAAGAGGACTGAGAAAAGGTTATATAGTTTAGCAGTTAAGAGAATACCAATGACCTCGAAAAACCATCTCAGGCAAATATTAGGGGCGAGAGTTCAGGGGGAGGCAAGCAGTATGAAAGTTTTGGAGATATTTGGTGTTCATTGGAAGTAGAGAAGGGACAAAAGTTTGAAGTGGTAAGAAGGACATGGAAAAGCATTTTATGAAATTTGTAATTATTGTAATCAGGGAAGAAGGAGCTGGTTGGGAAAAGAAGGAGAGGTAGAAGTAGAAGGGAAGACAGCATTGAGGATACCCATGTTAGTTAGGATAAGACATGCATGCATGAAACTACTAGAGAACAAGCCAAACTCTAACATCGTGTTAATTTTCGGAATCCAGGCAATAAGTGCAATAAGAGTTAGAAGGAAGAGAAGGTGGGAGCTGGAGTGGCCAAGAATAGGTATCAAACTGTGTTAGATTTGACTAGGTTATTCAAGTATGTAAATAACCAGTGTTAACACTTTTAGCACCTACCAAAACATACACATGACATGGCCTCCAGGCTGTTGGAATGTAAACGTAATATCCTCAACTTTTTTATGTATTTCTTGTCACTAGGTGAATATTTTTCTTTCCCTCATACACACAGGGTATTTTGTTTTTAAGCATTAGGGAGCTAAAATAGAAGCAGTGTGTCTGAATGCAGGAACAGTCTGGGGATTCAGGGGCTGTGAATTTTATGATGTCTTTACTATTTCCCTAAAGTTATATTCTAGACCATTTAATTTTTGTATGCCATAATTTCTTCATCTGGGTGACAGAAATGATGAGAAGGCCAAAATTGAAAGTACTATAACTATCTTAACCCTATCAGTCTATTAGCCATAGTGCCTAAGTTCCCATTCACTATTACTTTCTCACATTTTTCTTTGATGAATGTTATGTATATAATATTGTTTGCTCCTCTCACTGAGAAAACTTCAGAGTGTTTATGTCCTAGGCTCAGGAGGCTTCAATACGTCTACAGCTTCATGTAACCTTCTATGTGGGTGCTTTTATAAATTTAGTTCCCTTAGCCTAGAATGCCTTCCTGCCCATTGCTCAAATTCCTTTGTCCATGGGACAAAATCACTATCAAGACTGAGTCCTTCACCCATAGCCTTCATCGGTTCCCCTCCCCACGCCATCTTAAATAAGATAGCATATCATATTCTTTTTTTTAATCTTTAAATTCTTTATTAGTTAAGGAATTACAAATGTGTCCTCCTCCCCCCCCCCCCCTCCCTTTCACACGTATATAGTGAGAATAAAATAATCTTTAATAAACTTGACTGTCTTTATGGATCAGTATTCATTAACTCTAAGTCAAAGCAGAACCTTTCTTTTTTAAAAACTATAATTCTTTAAAAAATATTTTTATTGATTTCAGAGAGGAGGGGAGAGTGAGAGAGAATGATGAGAGAGAATCATTGACAGGCTGCCTCCTGCATGCCCCCAACTGGGGATCCAGCCTGCAACCCAGGCATGTGCCCTTGACCGGAATTGAACCCGGGACCCTTCAGTCTGCAGGCTGATGCTCTATCCACTGAACCAAACTGGCTAGGGCCAAAGCAGAATCTTTCCATGTAAATCAGCTGAAGGTCAAATCTATTTGCTCCTTGTTCCCACCCAACCTCTTTGCTCTCCCTTAAGTTTCCCCTATATAGAAATTCTATTGACACAATGTTTAATGTAGACAACGTTTTGTTTTGTTTTTCCCTCTTGAACAGGCATTTAATAATAAGTGAAATCTATTAGAGACAGTAGGTGAAAATCAAGCAGACAGACAAGCAGAAAGAAGTTGCAGATGGAATGGGGAAAAGTATATGTTTGTCCATTATTTTTATCCCTTTTCTGTCATTTGCTCTAAAATTTTTGGCCCTTCCTTCTCTCCCTTCAAATCAGGTTCCCTAGCTGGCTTGATAGACATCTCTGCTCATTGGATGACAGACTTAAAAGAAGGTATATGCACAGAAGGATTGTGGTTTAACCATGAACACTGTTGCTGGGACTCTGATCAGGTCACTTTTGAAAACAAAGACAAATGCCCCAAGTGGAATAGCTGGTCTCAGCTTCTCATCAGCACAGAAGAGGTAACGTGTAGTGAAGATTTTGGAACCACTGACTTTTATTCTTACATTTCCTTCTTTTCTTATACTGTACTCATGGCAACTGTGGACTCTCCCCTTGTTTTCCTTTTCATGAAAACGGGAACCAGTGCCAGCTTCCTTTTTCTGTGCTTTTAAGTGCAGTCCTATTTCCATCTCTTCTGGCATGTGGAAGTGTTTGATGCTTACACAATTACTTAACATTTTTGCTTGTTTTAAACAAGCTTATTGTTTCTTCTTGGTTTTAGTACACAGTGTGACTGAATCTATCTTTCTCTAATAATTTCAGTAGAAAAGTTAGAGCCAACCAACAGGAAAGCTACAATTTCTAACAAAGGATGGACTGGGTTATGAATGTTTATTGTGTAGATTCCAAAAGTAATTTTCCCCTGAGCATTAAATTACAGCATTAAAAAAACTATGGTATGTATACTTTGCTCAAAATGCTCTAATGACACCCTTAGTATAAGTAAAAACTTATGTTATGAATATGAAAAATCTATATCAAAACAACAGAAACCCAGGAATAAACTTACCCCAGTCCCATTTTGAGATTGTCAGTATTTTCATTTGTCCTTCTTTGCTAGCCTATATTTTTCAAAGAAGTATTAACTTTGTTTTGCAGTTGTTTGCCTTTCTGTTACCACTTGGTTGTAAGTTAGATCTTTCCTACTAAAAACAAAAACAGAAAATAAAACTGAACAAAGCAACTGTCAATTCCCAATTTCACTCTGACTTCTACTAATTAAAACAGGTACTATCTCAGCTCACTACTCATCCACTCTGTTGGTGAAGTGAGGGGGATAACACTAGGACATATGTTTGTACTTTTATTTTATTTATTTATTTTCAATATATTTTTGTTGACTTCAGAGAGGAAGGGAGAGGGAGAGAGAGAGATAGAAACATCAATGATGAGAGAGAATCATCCATCAGCCGCTTCCTGCATGCCCCCTACTGGGGATCGAACCCACAACCCAGGCATGTGCCCTGACCGAGAATGGAACCATGACCTCCTGGTTCATAGGTCGATGCTCCACCATTGAGCCACACTGGCCGGGCTGTTTGTATTTTTTAAGATTCATGTAACGTTTTATTTATTTTTTATTTTAAATCTTTATTGTTGAAAGTATTACATATACTTTCTCCCCACCTACTTTGGTCCACATTTGAAATGGGGCGCGCGTGCTCTCTCTCTCTCTCTCTCTCTCTCTCTCTCTCACACACACACACACACACACACACACACACACACACAGTCAGTCAAGGGAAAAAAGGGTAGGAGAATAATAAAGTCAGGAATAACAGTGTTTATGTGTATATATGGCTGTGCATATTTTGGTTTGGGGAACAGAGTTCAATAACAGTGGTAAATATATACTGTGTGTATGAGAGGGTTTAAATCTAAGCTTCTCAAATGGGGTCAGCATGCCAGAGAATAGGTGAAACCACAGGATAAATGCTATGTGCCTTCCCAGAATATCAGTCTTTCCTACATATTTGGCAGATTTTTTTCTCAAAAATTAAATGTAAACAATCATTAAAAAGAAATGCAAAATTCCCATGTTTGTTAAGATAAAACATAATTTCTATTTCAGCTCTGCTCCTGGGTGCCCCCATCCCCTGCCCTGATATCTCTATTTACTTTCCTAGATTAGCAGTACTTGGGTAGAAAAATTTGAGAAGCACTGGAATTTAGGGTGAGTGTGTGTGTGTGTGTGTGTGTGTGTGTGTGTGTGTGTATCTTATGTGTATATGATTCCCTTGCTTTAGAAAGCTTATTTTTGAAGTATAGATTCACAGGAAGTTGCAAAAACAGTATATAGGGAGGTCTCCTCTATCTTTCACCCAGCCTCTCTTTTCCCAATGCTAACATCTTATCAAGTATAGTATAATAGCAAAACAAGGAAATTGACAATGGTACAATCCACAGACCTTATTTCTTCTGTTTTACATGTGTGTGTGTGTGTGTGTGTGTGTGTGTGTGTGTGTAGTCTCCTGCAATTTTATTACATGTATAGATTTATGTAACCACCACCACAATCGAGATATGGAACTATTGTTGCATCACCACAGGGCCCATCCCTGCTAACCCTTTATAGCTGGGAATATTTTGAAGTGTTCCAACCATAACTTTCAAACTGGAGCTTGAGATTTTTTAAGTGAAAAATTTATCTGGCTCTCCTTTTTATGAACAAAATCCTTGCTTGGGGAAAAAGTCTTCTGGGTTTTAAGAGTTCTCCTGCCAAGAACTTGGCCTCCTGGTCTCTGCCTCTAGCCAATTTCAGCTACGTTCCCTTTCTCCCCCCTTTCCTCTTTGTTTCCAATTTCTGGAGTCCTCTTCCCTAGCTACATTCCAAAGGCAAAGAGAGAACAAATATATGTTTCTCTGAGGGAGTAAGATAATGGAAAACCTGTGTCAAAATTATAATTCAGAAAAAACCTGTCCATTTTGGTTCTCCTTGTCTAGGTCAGCAATTTTTTAAATAGTATTATGTTTTAAAAAGTCAAAAGTTCATTGAGTTTTGTGTAATTTGATTGAATTTCAACTTCTAATGTGTATATCAGCATGCATAATCTCCTTATGTTCAAAATATTTTTTATAGGACATAACTATTTGCAAGCCCTTTAATGTTGGTGATTTCTTATTGGTGGTTAAAATTAGATTTATTTTCTCACAGACTTTGTTATCATAGGGTAGTTTCAAAAGTATATTATCTTGATTCTATTTTCTCCATTTAAAAAATAGCTATTGCCATTTTATTCTTTGGGATATCTGGCATTTTACTGGTTTTGTTTTATGGTCAGAGTCTGAAACTTCCTACTACATAAACTTGTTGCTGAATCTGTAGAAGCAAAATTCTCTCAAAGATGTGATCATTCTCTACAGAACATAATTGTGCATTTTAAGAAAAACACCCATGAATTTTAGACACTATACCTTCTATGAGAATTTGACACTGAGGTAGGTTGCCAAAGGTGAATTTAATGAAACTTTAGAGCCAACCCAAACTTCAAATGTGTAGCCAAGTTCCTGCCATTTGAATAGAAGGCCTGTTAATCTTAATAAAGTTGACTTTTAAAAAAACCATATTTTTATTGATTTTAGAGAGGAAAGGAGAGGGAGAGAGAAACCTCAATAATGAGAGAGAATCATTGATTGGCTGCCTTCTGCATGCCCCCTCCTGGGGATTGAGCCCGCAACCTGGGCACATGCCCTGACCAGGAATTGAACCCTGAGCTCCTGGTTCATAGGTCGACGCTCAACCACTGAGCCAGGCTGGCCAGGCTACAGTTGACTCTTGAACAGCACAGTCTTGAACTGTGCACTGTGCGGGTCCACTTATATGCAGAATTTTTTCAATACTACTAAATATAATCAGCCCTTTGTGTTCTCCTTCATGGATTCAAACCTCCAGGGATTCAACCAACCACAGATAGAACACAGTATTTTCATATTACCATCCGTGGTTTCCCAACTGCATATCAAAGACAGTTTTTTATTTTCAGTTGGTTTAATCCATGGATGTGAAGAGCCAACTGTAGTTAAGTTTGGGGGGAGTCAAAAGTTATATGGGGAATCTAAAGAACAAAATAAATGAACAAAATAGAAACAGACTCATAGATACAAAGAACAGAATGATAGTTGCCAGAGGTGTTGGGGCACTGGGTGAAATAGGCGAAGGGATTAAGAAGTACAAATGGAGGCCTATCCGGTTTGGCTCAGTGGATAGAGCATCGGCCTGCAGACTCAAGGGTCCCAGGTTCGATTCCGGCCAAAGGCATGTACCTTCGTTGCGGGCACATCCCCAGTGGGAGGTGTGCAGGAGGCAGCTGATCGATGTTTCTAACTATCCTTCTCCCTTCCTCTCTGTAAAAAATCAATAAAATATATTAAAAAAAGAAGTACAAATGGATAATTTCAGAATAGTTGCAGGGATGGAAATTACAGATAGAGAATATAGTCAATAATATTCTAATAACTATTGGGCCAGGTGGGTAATTGAAATATTGGGGGATCACTTTGTAAAGTATATGGTTGTCTATCTGCTCTGCTATACACCTGGAACTAATACAAAGTAATACTGATGTAAACTATAATTGAAAAATTAAAAAAAAAAGTTATATGGGGATTTTCAGCTGCTTAGGGGTCAGTATCTGTTTAAGGGTCAACTGTACCGTTGGCTACAAAACCTATCAAACCACTCATATAGAAAGTGAATTTGCTTCAGGAATTTGTTTGCCCTGGTTCTTGTTTATCCTTAGAAGCCATTGTCAGTTTCTTTTGGGTGTAGCAAGCCCTTCATTTTCAGAAGCAAATGGGCTGACAGTGTTTTTAGTAGAAGCTTTGCTGATAATCGGGAAAGAAACATCTTAAGCAATTTAATATTAGGTTTTTTCTCTCTGACTTCCTCTCCTGAAAATCTATTACTCAGAAGAGCTGCATGCCTTACTGAGGCTGTCTGAGCTAACAAAACTTCTTTTCTTTTTTCCCTGCTTTAGGGAGCCTTTGCCTACATAGTCAATTATTTCATGTACGTCCTCTGGGCTCTACTGTTTGCCTTCCTTGCCGTATCTCTTGTCAAGGTGTTTGCACCTTATGCCTGTGGCTCCGGAATCCCTGAGGTAAGTCTCTAAAATGGCTTTTAAATGGTAACAATAATGAATCCTTTTTGGTTAAAACCCTTTAATATGTATACCACAATGTGAATATTAAACAAGGTTAGATCTTGAGGCAATCTAGGGCCTCTCTAAGTGTTCCCTAAGTTTCCTCCCCTCCTGAGCCACCTGGATATTAAAAGGAGTTGATTCCTAGCCTCCTGTGGGTTACTGGAGAACTAGGCCCCTGAAGACCTCTACCATTCTCTACTCAAGAAGCTTCCCAGGGTAGATCTCAAGATTCTGGCCTGAAAATGTAGTGGTATTGTCAACTTTGTTATAGCAGAATAAATAAAACTATTTGGCTGCATTTTCTACAATCTGATTCGGGCTAGAAAAAAGGGTGATTAAAACCCTGTTTCTAATTATTTTTGATTTAGATTGCTTGACATTGATTGAAACCACTGAGATTTAAGGTTACCCAGATGACCTTGCCCCTCTCTGTTTCCTGACGAAGTCACAGTTACAAATTTTTCTGGCAGGGAATCAAGGCTATATTAGTCTGTAAGGAAAATACTTTCCCTTTCCACCTCCCCTTCTCCATATACACACTCTCATACTTACAATACTCCCTTGCCCAGCTATCACATGGCCAAAAAAGAAACAAGAAACATGAAAACTTAAAGAACAGTTCTCACTTTCTTGGGTTCCTGGCCTCCCTCCCAAACTAGGATTACTGTAGGTCTAGCATTTGTATGTTCAAAAGGTATAGTTTCTATAATGAGGTCCAGATTATTGCTTCTTACTTGCTTAGTCTATATCCAGTCTCTCTGTGTTTGACCTGCAGATAAAAACTATCTTGAGTGGTTTTATTATTAGGGGCTACTTGGGTAAGTGGACCCTAATTATCAAAACCATCACGTTGGTGCTGGCAGTGTCTTCTGGCTTGAGCCTGGGCAAAGAGGGCCCTCTAGTGCACGTGGCTTGCTGTTGTGGGAACATCCTGTGCCACTGCTTCAACAAATACAGGAAGAATGAAGCCAAACGCAGAGAGGTAATAACAAACGGCCTTAACAGTCTCTCTCTCTCTCTCTCTCTCTCTCTCTCTCTCTCTCTCTCTGTTTGTTTATTTGTTTTGGGTGAAAACATAAATGGTAATTCTTAGGGATGAAAATTTGGGGATTCTACCAATGTTAATTCAAATGCTCTATGACCTAGAAGTTCCACTTCTAGGAATTTATCCTACAGACATGCTAGCATATGTGTGCTCAAAGATGTATGGGGATAGTCAGCGCATTATTTATCAACATAGTGAAAAACTGAAATTATCACCATGTGCACAACAAGGGCCTGACTGAACAATCTTACGTCCATACTATAGAAAACTATGCAACTTTTAAAAAGACCGAGATAGCCCTTTATATACTGTCATGAAAGTATGGCCAGAGAACAATGTTAGGTTTTTAAAAAAAAACAATTTCAGAATAATGTATCTAGTATAATTTAATTAGTGTTTTTATTTTTTATTATTATTTATTTTTAAAAATATTTTTATTGATTTTACAAAAGAAGGGAGAGGGAGAGAGAGATAAAAACATCAATGATGAGAGAGAATCATTGATCAGCTGCCTCCTGCATGTCCCACACTGGGGATCAAGCCCACAACCCAGGCATGTGCCCTGACTGGGAATCAAACTGAGACCTCCTGGTTCACAGGTTGATGCTTAACCACTGAGCCACACTGGCTGGGCTAATTAATGTTTTTAATAGGTGTGTGTATCTGCACCTAGAAAGAAAATGTCTGGAAAGTGGTTTTACCTCAAACTGTTTAAAAAAATGTCTACTTCTGGTGAATGGGAAGTGAGGTGACAGTAAAGGTGAAGTAAGGACTTAAACTTTTTATTATATATAATTCTATACAATTGTGTGTAGTTTCTATTATAAATTAAGTTAAACAATAGAAGATTTTAAAAAAGAAGTCTATTCCTATGAAAGAATACACACTCAGCATTTGTTTCAGATGCCAGGCTCTTCATGTTTTATTTCTACCTAACACCAAATGGCATTCAACTCTGTGTCTTGGATCTCCCTCTGCCTTCTGTCTCAACCACGCTAAATTAGTTCCACCAAAGCGTCTCTGTAGGAGTTCTCATGTTGAGGATTTTGAGAAGGAAGAGCATTTTAGAAAAATGTTCCAGGTCATTGTTTACTTTTGTCCTGTTATAATTAGAGATCTAAGAAAATAATGGTTCTTGCTCTATTTTCCTTGAATTACAAAGAAATCACATATGGAATGGGTCAATACCAAGGCCATTCTATTATAAAGGGTTTCTCATAAAATTGGAACCTAGTGGTTTATTTTGAAAACAAAGGAAAAAAATTAAGACCTAGAAGGAAACTCAAAGGTGTTGAAATTTTAAATATGAAATACATTTTTTTTGTCCTTTGAGGCATTTTATTTGCATGTATGTATTACATCCCTAGAAAAAGAACCCCAGGATTTTCCCTCCTGTGTGTTTCATCTTGCTTCTTCATGGTTCATGATGCCCGCTGTGGTTGTCAGTACAATGAAACCAAACTGACGGGACGGAAGCAAGTTGTTCTGTCTTTTTTCTAGATCCTTGAGTTGCACATCAAATCTGGGGCTGATTACTCCACACTTGTTCAACCTGCCTGTGAGGTTCACAACAATTTTCCCAGCTCTGTGGTTATCAATAATTTCAAATTTGCCAATGTAACCATGCTTCATCATCACAGTCAGAAACTTGACGATGGCTTTGGAGCACGGCCTGATGAGAACCTGGCGTTTGTCTCTCTTTTCGGCATTGTTAATACTCTTCAGAGCATCAGCCAGGATATTCATGCGCACCATTATGGAGGCACGGACTGATGGCAGAAAAAGCTGGAATACATTTTGATAGTTCAAGGGGGGAAAGTTCCTGACAGGAGAGGAAGGCTAGAGAGAGACATATATATCTGAATGGTAGAGGAATATAAAGGTAGTATTAAGTTGGTGAAGTTGTTATATGGCAATAATGTTATATGGCAAAACTGTTTTTTCAGCTTTGACAAGAGTGAAATGTTGATTGTTGCTGGTTTTGCAGGGGTAGAGGTGACTTTGGAACTGTAGATTGCTAATTACTTTCATTCCATAAAATTAAAATTTTTTGTTTAAATAATTTCTTATAAAATGAGAGGGGAGTTTGATTTGGCTGTTTCTCTGAACAGATGTAATATATTTCTCTAACTAGACTCATGAATATTTGAAGTTTTAGTTGACTTCCTATTGCTTATTTAGACTTTCCAGTTATTTTTTCCTGTTGATTGGCAGCAACCCTTTTGTGTCCCAGGGCCTGGTCAAAGTGGGCAGATGGTTGAATAAAATAAAGATTTGAAAAGTAAGGGCATAAACTCCACTCTACAAGTTAAAATTATAGCAAACAAGCCACCTTGATTTTTCTCCCACGTAATTCATCCTAAACAGTCACTAAAATCCCCTTTCTCAAGTTCCATGTTGACTGTCATTCTTCTCAGATGAAAACCATTATAGCCATAAATTTCTAAGTCCTCCCCAGCTAGCATCAAAGAGTTCACTCTTTCCTCCCTTTCGTTTCCCTTGGTCATCCTATACTCCCAGAGAAATCTGTTTACTTATTTTGCCAAGAACCATTTTATTCTTAAAAAACTCAGGGGAGGTGGGAGTAGGGGGGATGGAAAGAGATTATCCAAAGAACATATATGCATAACCCATGGACACAGATGATAATAATGTGATGAAGGCCTGGGCTGGGTTGGGGGCTGGGTGGAGGGGGGGCAAAGGGGGAAAATGGGTGACATCTGTAATACTGTCAACAATTTAAAAAAGAAATGCTAATACATCCACAAAAAAACTCTCAATTTTTGTCTACTTTTTCTTTCAAATACTTTCTTACTACCCCAAATCATATTATCACTCCACAGCAACCAGAATCTGATGACAGGACTTTATCTTTCCATTACTTCTTGTGTTTGTCATGCTTTCCCCTTCCCTCTTAGCCCTTTATCTTTCCATACCTAAACATACATAGATCTTCTCTTCCCTTCAAAATATATTCCCAACCTTGCTTCTAGTTACCTCCCTATTTCTTTTTCTGTAGGTCACTAGACATGGAGTAGGACACATAGTATAGGAAAACTTAAATATCTATTATATGAATATTTGCAGCTCCTGAATAGCTGTGAACTAATTGTAACTTTAGTTTTGTGTCATTAGAACCTTCCTTAAAATTTAATTTAAAAAGTGTTTCTTTACAAAGAAAGTGCTATGTAAACACATCATTGAAAGTACTTGATTTAGGTGATGAATACAGACTCAAATTCAGTTATGGAATTGTGTGTATTGAAGATGGGGGCATAATTTGGAATAAAGCATACCTAGATTGATTACAAATGAAAGACCATTTATTTATTCCAGCATGTGAAATATGTGTTCAAAATCCAAATACAATGTTTGCTCTCAAAGTATAAATTGAACTTCATTTGTTTTATAAACTGCATATGGAGTATGTAAAGTTTTTTAAAAAAATGTTTAGTAGCCACTAGCACTCCTTTTAAAACTGTGATTGATGGTAGGAAAGTGGCATTATTCTATTGTTAATTTTGAGTTTTGGGTTGTAGGTCTTGTCGGCTGCAGCAGCAGCTGGTGTATCTGTCGCCTTTGGGGCGCCTATTGGCGGAGTATTATTCAGCCTTGAAGAGGTAATACTTTTAACTATTTGTAGCACATGTGCATGCTTTTGTGTTGGGAATCATGGGTAGTGTCTATGTACATGGTAGTCCCAAAGTGCTTTGCATAACTCAGTACTTTATCATGTGACCAGAGATCTCTGGGCAGTTTTCATTCTCAGTTCTTAATTCCTACAGCACCAACTTTTTACCCGAAACAGTTTCTGCATATTGACTGAGTTTGCCTTTCCCCCTTCTCTCTTATAGGTCAGCTACTATTTCCCCCTCAAAACACTGTGGCGTTCGTTCTTTGCTGCCTTGGTGGCAGCATTTACCCTACGCTCCATCAATCCATTTGGGAACAGCCGTCTGGTTCTATTTTACGTGGAGTTTCACACCCCGTGGCATCTCTTTGAGCTTGTGCCATTCATTCTGCTGGGCATATTTGGTGGTCTGTGGGGAGCTTTATTTATCCGCACAAACATTGCCTGGTGTCGGAAGCGTAAGACCACCCAATTGGGCAAGTATCCTGTCATAGAGGTACTTGTTGTGACAGCCATCACTGCCATCCTGGCTTTCCCCAATGAATACACCCGAATGAGCACAAGTGAGCTCATTTCTGAACTATTTAATGACTGTGGCCTTCTGGACTCCTCTAAGCTCTGTGATTATGAGAACCATTTCAACTCAAGCAAGGGTGGTGACCTGCCTGACAGACCTGCTGGTGCGGGAGTCTACAGTGCCATGTGGCAGCTGGCCTTGACACTCATAATGAAAATTGTCATTACTATATTCACCTTTGGCATGAAGGTGAGGAGATTCTTTTGGTGCTCAGTGGGTATATGTGTGGCTGTGGGTTTGGAGGGCAGAGCCAAGATATCACACAATCCTCATAGCTCATGTGGTGCTTCCAACTTCATCCAACGTTATTACTCAACCCCCAAAGCCCTTTTTACCTCCATATGCCCTCATAACTTCTTGGACAATTGTACCTCTATCTAAAATGATCCAGGCCTAGTTTTAGACCAAATGCAAACCTCAGTGTTGAGATTTTAAGTAGAAATGTTGTCTTCTTTTTAGTTAAAAAATATTTTGCCCCTCAAAAAGGATAGTGAGGTATTTATTTCTATGCATTGTGTATTAAAATAATATCTATCCAATATAGTATTGGTCCTTATAGGGTGGCTTTAGAGTTTACTGATAAAGCAAAATATTAGGTTGAACCAAATGAAGTTGCCAATATTCAACCATTTTGACCACTAAAATAGCAACTTCATATAGTTTAGCCCAATATATATGTAAATGTATTTTTTAAAATATATTTTTATTGATTTCAGAGAGGAAGGGAGAGGGAGATATTAACATCAGTGATAAGAGAGAATCATTGATCGGCTGCCTCCTGCACACTCCACTCTGGGTGTTGAGCCCACAACCCAGGCATGTGCCCTAACTGACCAGGATTCAAATCGTGACCTCCTGGTTCATAGGTTGACATCCAACTATTGAGCCACACTGGCTGGGCTATGTAAATGCATTTTATACATTTGATATCAATGTCCAATTATCAAGGAATTCACAGTTGATCCTCAATTAATATTTAAACTGTCAAAATGAGACATCAAGACAGCAAGTTTTACTTTTAGTACCCGTTATTATTTCCGTGTTTCAGAAGAAACCAGAAAAGAAAATTTGTTAACGTATTTTCCTCCTCCTTCCTGGTTTTAATTTGTGCCTTTTCTTTAGCACCCCACTACCAAGTTATTGCCTTCATTCTCTAGGGAAGTGGAGATTCAAACCAGGGAATTAGAGACAGCAATGCAGTTTAGACAGTACTGAAATCTCTGAGATCAAATCTTCCATCCTCCTCAACACCCTGAAAAGTTTTGCAGTGCTTCTCAAGTAATTTTCACCTCTGGCTTTATTCTTTTATTTAAAGTCATTTTCCCAGACCACCAGACCTTCCTGGATTCAAATATATTCCAAAAAATCAAACACAAGCTATTTAAAAATAATCTGCTGTTTTGATTATCTTTGTCATCATGTCCCTCTCTTAGCTCAGAAAATTGAGAATTCACTGTAGTATCCTAGGAGTTAAAAAAAAAAAAGAGTGGAGAGACAGATGAGGGTTCCTTTTCTGGATAGTCATGCAACCATAATCACTACCTGATTTAAAATAATTAATCATTTAATCTTTCTTTGTATTGTCACAAAATAAACTGAAACCTTATGTGCCATTCTTTTTGTGTGAGCAGTGGGTTAAGATTCAGTACATAAGAGTGGGTATGAGCATTGCATTTAAACTCCATCATCAGTATTTACTAAATCTTGGCCTTGGGTAAATTACTTAATTTCTCTGAATCTTAGGTTCTTTGTGATTTGAGAATAAGAGTACCTACATCCTGAAATCTTATCTTTAGAGCATCCAGAATAGAACATAGTAGATAGTCAATAAAAGATAATTGTTGTTGATAAGAATTAAAAATTGGGGAAAATGTCTTCATATATGAGAAACTCCATCTATTTTCCTTTTTCTTTGGGAAAGGCTTAATTTCTGCCTCCAGTTCTTTGTTGGTCTGGAGAGTTCAGGCTCTAGCCTGATGGACCCCGAATCCGGGTAAGATTCTTTGCGGTCATACTTGCCTGCACATTCCAGAGAACCCCTAGTCCCTGTAGTCACACATATCTTTATAGCCACTTACTAGCATAGTATATAGTTACATTGTCATTGGCCTGTTTGCTTCACAGAGGGTCAATCCTCTAGCCCTTACATATACCAGGCAATGACATTATTTCTTACTAACCATCTATTACTTTCTCTTTGCAGATCCCTTCTGGTCTCTTTATCCCTAGCATGGCTGTTGGTGCTATAGCAGGTCGACTTTTAGGAGTAGGAATGGAACAAATGGCTTATTACCACCATGACTGGGCCATCTTCAATAGCTGGTGTAGCCAAGGAGCTGATTGTATCACTCCTGGCCTTTATGCGATGGTTGGGGCTGCAGCCTGCTTAGGTGAGTAGTGTTTGCATTGATTTCAAAGTTGCTACCCAGGTGACATACTAAGAAGAGTGATATTAAATACAATTGACTGCAGATTTTTTTTAAGTGACCATTTTCTGTTGGGTTTGCCATTTTTCAAGTGCTTTAAGAAAGCATTCTTGATTGTCCAAAGTACAGGTATTTATTTTCCCATACCGCTCTGAGTTTTTTCAGATATGTCAAGCCTATTCCTTCATCCTGATCTTTGTACTTGCTGCCCCTTCTAGGAATGCTCCTCCCTCAGCTATAGCACAGTTGGTTCCTTTCAGCCTTCAGATTTCATGTTAAAAGTTTTCCCCCAGAGAGTAGTTCTCTAATTGCTCACATTATATGTAATTCCTCACATGCTCTCCCTCCCCCACTTTTTGTTGGGAACATATGTATATTATTACAAATTGTCTATTGTCTATGATAGCATACTCTTTTATTAAATAATTGTTAAATACTTTAAAAAGAAAACATTCTTTGCTATATATCTACATTCCTCCCCTTTAAGAATAATTCTACTCTCAAATTCCAGCATATGGAGGAAATGATCAGAAATGTATACAAATTTGTATCAGAAATGTATACAATATGTCTGCACAAGAATGTTCATCATGATGTTATTTATAATAGCAAAAAGTTGGAATCAACATAAAATACACAGTAACGGACTGGTTAAATAAAATATGGTGCATCTATGTAATGTTATACTATGCAACCATTGAATGTGATGTTAATATTTAACATATTTAAATAGTGTTAAATAAATTTGTAATAATATACAAAATGTTCCCAGCATAAAGCGGAGGAGGGGAGAACATGTGGGGAATTAAACATGTAGTATGAGCTTACTCATGAAAAACATTTTTTGGCATAGTAAACAACTTGAAAAATTCATTCAAGTTATTTTACTCTACTTATTTCTGGGCAGTGAACTTATAGATATGATATACTTGTTTTTTATTTTCTGAATTTTCCACAATGGGCCTGCACATTGCAGAGAACCTCTGTAGTGTTACACAGATTATGGATATCTCCTGCAGCTACTTTTATAATGGGGGGAGCACAATAGACAAATAAAACAAGAATCAAGAAGGCATCTCATACTTTTGCAGATGTTATTTTGAGAACTCTGGTTCATTTCCATTGTAAACTTCCTTTAATGCATTGCTGGGGTCGACAGTTGTGAGTGAGACCTCCTTTTAGCAATGTTTCTGTTAAGTAAGCTTTACCTGAGTAAGACCTGTAGCAGGTAAATAATTGTAATGAATCCTATACTCTTCCCACCTTCAATAGCCTGTGCCCGTTTCTTTGCAGGTGGAGTGACTCGGATGACTGTTTCTCTGGTTGTCATAATGTTTGAACTAACTGGTGGCTTGGAGTACATTGTGCCTCTGATGGCTGCAGCAATGACAAGCAAATGGGTGGCAGATGCTCTTGGGCGGGAAGGCATCTATGATGCCCACATCCGTCTCAATGGATACCCCTTTCTTGAAGCTAAAGAAGAGTTTGCTCATAAGACCCTGGCAATGGATGTGATGAAACCCCGGAGAAATGATCCTTTGTTGACTGTCCTTACTCAGGACAGTATGACTGTGGAAGATGTAGAGACCGTAATCAGTGAAACCACTTACAGTGGCTTCCCAGTAGTGGTGTCCCGCGAGTCCCAAAGGCTTGTGGGTTTTGTCCTCCGAAGAGATCTCATTATTTCAATTGGTAAGGATTCCAGAAAAGGGATAATAGAATTCACTGTGGAAATAAATAAATATTCATAAAATGGGGGAAGATGGAGGGAAGAGGGGACTAGTTAGGAGCCAGAAATAGCAGTTTAATTTTCAACATTTTCTCCCTATTTTTCAAATAGAAAATGCTCGTAAAAAACAGGATGGAGTTGTGAGCACGTCCATCATTTATTTCACCGAGCATTCTCCTCCAATGCCACCATACACTCCACCCACTCTAAAGCTTCGGAACATCCTGGATCTCAGCCCCTTCACTGTGACTGACCTTACCCCCATGGAGATCGTTGTGGATATCTTCCGCAAGCTGGGACTGCGGCAGTGCCTGGTTACACACAATGGGTAAGAGCTCTTTGGTGAAGGCGAATTGGGTTGTGGGGGAAAGACTGTAGAGAGAAAGAAAGAACGTAATTCACACGAACATTAGTAGCACTTATAGGCCTTTCTGAAGCTCTGAAATGAAGATGGATGTGTTTCTTTTATCGTCATAATTTACAAAAAAGGAGTTTGAGGAAGAAAGTGGGTTTGAGAGGTGTGAACTGCAGGTTGCATATTATATATAACTCAATTCCTCCCCACAAAAGAAATAGCAGTGTTCTTATGAAATTATAATGGTATTAAGTATTATATGTACAGTATTTGGTCCTTACAATACTTTTGTTATTCTTTTTTTTAAATTTATTGATTTCAGAGAGGAAGAGAGAGGGAGAGACAGATAGAAACATCAATGATGAGAGAGAATCACCGATCGGATGCCTCCTACATGCCCCCCAATGGGGATCGAGCCCGCAACCTGGGCATGTGCCCTTGGCCTGAATCGAACCTGGGACCCTTTAGTCCTTAGGCCAACGCTCTATCCACTGAGCTAAACTGACCAGGGCTACTTTTGTTATTCTTATATGAGGATGAGAAAACCAAGTTTCAGTGAGGTTGGAAGATTTATACTAGCACTCCCAGTTAATATATAATACAGGTAGGCTTTAAACATAAATCTTCTGACTCCTAAGGCCAAAGTTCTTTCTTTCTGGGATATTTCTTTTTTTCCCCCTTTTTTATTGTTTAAAGTATTACATATGTCTCCTTTTTCCCCAATCAACCCCTCCCTGACCACTCCCACCCCCCAGGACAAGCCCCCTACCGCTCCAGTGCCCATGTCCATTAATTATGCTAAAATGTATGCATACAAGTTCTTTGGTTGCTCTCTTACCTTACCCCCTCCCCTACCCACCCCTGCATTCCCTCTGAGGTTGGATGGTCTGTTCGGTGTTTCTTTGTCTCTGGATCTATTTTTGTTCATCAGTTAATGTTGTTCATTATATTCCACAAATGAGTGAGATCATGTGATATTTATCTTTCTCTGACTGGCTTATTTCACTTAGCATAATGCTCTCCAGGTCCATCCATGCTGTTGCAAATGGTAAGAATTCCTTCTTTTTTTACAGCAGCATAGTATTCCATTGTGTAGATGTACCACTTTTTAAAAATCCACTCATCTGCTGATAGGCACTTAGGCTGTTTCCAAATCTTAGCTATCGTAAATTGTGCCGCTATGAACATAGGGGTACATATATCTTTTCTGTTGATATTTCTGATTTCTTGGGATATATTCCTAGAAGTGGGATTACTGGGTCGAATGGGAGTTCCATGTTTAACTTTCTGAGGAAACTCTATACTGTTTTCCACAGTGCCTGCACCAGTATTCCCACCAGCAGTGCACAAGGGTTCCTTTTTCTCCACATCCTTGCCAGCATTTGTTGTTTGTTGATTTGTTGATGATAGCCATTCTGACAGGTGTGAGATGGTACCTCATTGTTTATTGTTTAAAGTATTACATATGTCTCCTTTTTCCCCAATCAACCCCTCCCTGACCACTCCCACCCCCCAGGACAAGCCCCCTACCGCTCCAGTGCCCATGTCCATTAATTATGCTAAAATGTATGCATACAAGTTCTTTGGTTGCTCTCTTACCTTACCCCCTCCCCTACCCACCCCTGCATTCCCTCTGAGGTTGGATGGTCTGTTCGGTGTTTCTTTGTCTCTGGATCTATTTTTGTTCATCAGTTAATGTTGTTCATTATATTCCACAAATGAGTGAGATCATGTGATATTTATCTTTCTCTGACTGGCTTATTTCACTTAGCATAATGCTCTCCAGTTCCA